CCCCCCAGCGGTGCTGCCCCAGCCCTGAGCCGGGGAAGGCTGGGGGTGCCTGGGGGGACCCTGATGTCCCGGAGGGGTTGGTGAGGGACAGGATGGGGTGTAAGGGGGGGAAGGAAGCTGGTGGGTCCCTTTTCCAACCCCTCTCCCTAATGCGCACAGAGGTGCAGAAATTGTCCAGCCTGGTGCTGCCGTCGGAAGTGATCATTGCGCAAAGCTCCATCCCCGGGGAAGGGCTGGGCATCTTCTCCAAGACCTGGATCAAGGCTGGGACCGAGATGGGACCTTTCACGGGCCGGGTCATTTCGCCGGAGCATGTGGATCTGTGCAAGAACAACAACCTCATGTGGGAGGTAAACCCCGACCCCAGCCCCCTCTGTCTGACTGGCCCGGGGGAGACAGGAGGGGACGGAGTGTCCGGATCCTGGGGCTTTGTCTTGTGCTCTGTGTGGCATTGGACAACTCCTCTCCCTTCCTCGTGCCTCAGTTTCCTCATTTATAACAAGGAGAACCGGGTTCCTCCAGGGCTGACTGGTTTTAGGAGACCCTTGGGTCTGGGGCAGGAGATGGCTTCTTCAGCCCGCAGCCCTTGGGGCAATGCTCGAGGCACAGCCTACTCTCGGAGAGCACTGAGACCCCGTTGCTAGCTTCCCCAGCAGCGGGATTGCATCCTGCCTTGCTCTTTCCTGCCGCAGTGAAATACCAGCCTGGCATCTCCCAGCGCCCCGCAAGATGGGAGAAATCAGCTCTCCTGTCCCCCTCTTTGTCCCAGCCCCAGTGCAGTTAACCCTGGGCGAAGCCGCAGGGTTTGGGGAATCTCAGCTGCCAGGACACCGAACATTCAGGCACGGTCAACGTACCAGGTTTTGCTCACTTCTGTGCTTTCACCAAGCGTCAGACTTGCCCCGATTATTTTATTTTTGATTTTCAATTGCCTAATAGAAATGTGCCTCACCTTCCTTGTGCCTCATCTTCCCCGAGGGCCGGGTCTGCCATGCACCTTCCTCCTCCACCCATCGAGGGATGCCGGCCCCTCTTCTTCCCGAGGCGGCTGCAGGATGCCGAAGGGGCTGAGCTGCCGGCCAGCCTCTG